AGACGGCGATCATTTGTAGAAAGGAACGGCATGGATGAAGACAGGCATCGCGTTTGGATTTTTGGGGTTGCACACAGTAATCCTCGGAGTGCCCTTCCAGCTTGAGATGTTCCATGTTTCTCAGATTTTGGCTGATTTTGGCTGGTTGCAAATGGTTGCATGGGCATAGCATGTTCAGGGAGAAGCAAAGGGGCTCAGAGCTCTGCTGGAGAAGGAAGGAGCCTGCAGCAGGGGACACACGCAGTGCCATGGGGCTCTGCCATACACAGGCAGAGCTCCTACAAGATAAATGTATTAAATACTCGGGGTGATGGGCATCATGTGGATGAGGACTTGCACAGCAGGCTGCAGCCCTCAACCCCACCCAGCTTGCTTTGCAAATGCCCTCTGCGAAAGGACTCCTTGAAAGCAATACAGCATGAGTGCAAAGCAGCATCCTACCAGCAAGCGAGGTTGTACAGTGGGCAAAGGCAGAGCTCAGCCCATGTCCTATGGCTGGGCAGCAGCAGCACGGGTGGCCGAGCGCTGCAGGCGGAGGCTCAGCTCATCCTGGAGGCGCTGGGAAGAGGCGTCGAGGACGTGGGCAAGGTGGGAGGTGAGATTCAGCACATGGGCCACCAGGCGGATATCCTTGCGCAGCCTGTGGGTTCAGGGCAGGGACATGGGTGGGTATCAATGGCATGAGGTGGTTGAGCCTCCAAATCCTATGGCTTCAGGCAAGGGATATGTATCTGGATGTCAATGACGTGGGGTGTGGTTTAGGGGCATGGTGGTGATGGGTTGGGCTTGACCTTGGAGGTCTTTTCCAATCGTGATGATTTTCCAACCTTCATGATTCTCTCATTCTGTTTGGAAAGAATATGGAGCCTCCAGACCCAATGGGTGGATATCAGTGGCATGGGACATAGTGGGGATAGGTTGGGGTTGGACTTGGTGATCTTAGAGATCTTTTCCAACCTTAGTGATTCTACAATTCTATGTCAATGGCAGGGGATGGGGGAGCTCCAAATGCTATGGGTTCAAGGCAGGGACACATGCATGGCATGAGATGACTGAGACAACAAACCCTGAGGGTTCAGGCCAGGGATACATATCTGGATATCAGTGGCATGAGACATGGTGGGGATGGATCAATGGTTGGACTTGATGATCTTGGAGGCCTTTTGAACACCCAGTGATTCTACGATTCTGTATCAATGATGTGGAGTGACGGGCCCTCCATATCCTACCTGATACAAACCAACCAACCACATGTGCTCACCAACAGCACTGAGCATCCTTAGGGCCACGCAGAGCAGCACCCTGACGTGGTAACGCCCACCTGTGGAGTTTGGGATGATGCTTCCTCCTACCTCCATCACCTGCAGGAAGCATCTCCCCTGCCTCCCCCCTACCAGGGACCTCCAGATTTCAGCAGAACTCCCCAAGAACCATTCATTTCTCTACGCCCATAAGAACAGATGACTGTTGGGATTTGGAGTGCTGCTCACTTACTTCTCCCTCTTCTCCACCACCTGTGGGTGATCGCTCTGGGCCATGTGAGCCTCCAGCTCCCTGCGCACGTTGTCCAAGCTCTCCCCAAATTCCTGGTTGGCCCCACGGATTGCAGGCAGTGCCTCATTGATCACATCCTGGTACCGGGGTTGGGGTTCCTCCAGCACAGCCGCCGCCTCCACATCCTGCAGCGTGGCCTTGTTCTGCTGCAGGAGGCTCTGCAGGTGCTCCAGCTCCTCGCGGGATGCAAGAGGGGATGGCACACGGGGTGGACCGCAAGGATTTGGGGCATGGAAAGTGATGCCACATTGCTCAGGGTCCCCAAGGGGGTCCTGCTGGGGGGTGGCATGAGGGAGCAGGGCGCACAGCCCCACCAGCAGGCAGCAGGCCCACGGGACCATGGTGTCCTATGGGGAGAGGTGGGCGTCAGCACCCCGCAGTGGGGCTGGGATGCTCTTTGGGTCCCTTCTGCATCCCACCAGGGACCCTCAGATTTCAGTTTGCATCAGCAAAATCCCTCAGGGACACTTCTTTTCCTATAAGGGATTGAAAACTTTTCGGCTGCTGGGATTTAGGATCTGAGAAGTGCTATGTCCCAAAATGCAAATGGGGGGGGAAACTGAAACACAAGGGGGCTGGCGCTGATCCTGCCCCTCCAAATCCCCTCCATGGAGGAGAGAGGGGCCGTGATGGGGAGCAGCAGACAGCTCGGCTCTTCCAAAACCAACGCTGGAAACCACTGGAAACTGCTGGCAGCGGGGCTGGAGGGGCGGGGACCAAAGCAAAGCGCCCTGAAGCATTGGGGAAGGACCGGAGATGCCATTCGGAGACCGCAGCGCCGTGGCACCCGGCCCTGCCATGAGCTGGCTGGGTCTCAGCACAGCGTCTGCTGGCACAGAGAGCCAGGCTCCATCCTGGCCAAAGCCAGCAAAACTCTTCTTTTCCTCTCCTTCCTCCCCAAAATGCTTTCGGATTTTTGCTCTGGGGAACTCTCTGCCTGTCGGGGGTCTGGGCTGTGCCAGAAGCTGGGTAAGGAGCTTTTATCCTGGTGGGGCACGGGTGGATGGGGGACACTCAGCAAAGCAACCGGATGCCCATAGCTGGAAAAAGCACAGCTCATGGGGACTCACATCCCACCCAGAGCAACTCTCTCCTCCAACCCCCCCAAACTCCCAACCTCCCCACCCCCTAAGCAGGGAATGGCCCCTGGTCCCCCATGCGCTTTGTTTGCAACGCTGCAATAACCCCCCCTCCCCGACACACAGTCTACAACCCCCCTTTTTCCAGCATTTCAGCCCCACTGCTCATTTTGCAGTTGGGGAAACTGAGGCACCAGAGTGGCACTGCTCCCCTCCCGTCCCCCACAGCCCCCATCCCACTCACTGCAAGGCGAGGCGATGATCCTGCAATGGGATCTGTGCTCTGGAGGCTGGGCCAGCCCACGCACATGTGCACACGCATGTGCACACATACACTGTGCTCAGCACTGAGTGGGCCATGCTTTGAGGTCTGGGGTGGGATGTATGGGGTCATGCAGCCCCCCGGAGGGGGATCTGTGTGTATTATAAAGCTGGGAGGGGTACAGCTGTGAGCAACATGTCCAGACAGCATGCTCATGTGTGCACGCATGTGCTAAGCGTGTGGATGTGCTCAGTGTGCACGCGTGTGGGGCATACAGGTGCTCAGCTTGCACGTTTCTATGCATGCTTGTGTGGATGTGTCTGCCAGCTTGTGCATGCAGACCTGCATTTGTGTGTGTGCGTACACATGTGCATGCAGATGTGCACGTTTGTGTGCGTGTGCACAGGCACGCAGGTGTGCAGGTGTGCATGTGTGTATGTGCAGGTGTGTATGCACGTATATATGTGTGCATACGTGTGTAAACCCGAGGGGTGCAGCAGGAGCCGAGATTTCTGCAGGACCTCTTTGTTAACGCCCCCTAAAATGTTATTTGTGGCAAAACCCACCGGATTTGGGCACCCGTGAGGACCTGTGAGACCTCCACCCCCAAAACCATGGGGTATGAGGGGTCCCACAGCTCCAGGAAGGTGGTGATGGGGCCGAGGAGCGCTCCCGTGTCGGGATGTCCCCCGGAAGGACACACCTGTGGGTCAGCACCCCTGCGCTGAGTGCCGGAGGGAGCGGACCGGCGGCGCTAGGACCTGCGAGGCGCTGCTGGGAGGGGGCGTGGCCACGGGGAAGGGGAGTGGCCTAAGACATCGAGGGGCGTGGTTATGGGAAGGGGCGGGGCGGTGGGCGCGGCCTTCCGGAGACTGAGTGGAGGTCACGGGTTCGAGACCGGGCGGCGGCGGCAGTCATGGCGCGGCGTTTTGCGTTGTTCGATTTGGGCGGAGTGCTCTTCGGGCCCGGCCTGCAGCACTTTCTGGGCTCCTGCGAGCGGAGCTACGCCTTGCCCAGGTACGGCTCGGCACCGCTCTGTGGGTTCCGGCTCGGAGTCCTAAGAGCAGCCCGCCCGCTTGACAGCGGGGCGCCTCTCAGCCAGAGACACGTGAAGACGAAGCGGCGATGTTGTGTGTGCGGTCGCCGCCCGCGCGGTGTGTGCGGGGACTCAGCGATAAACCCGACGGGACGGGCGGGGGAGGGGGTGGAATGCAGGATGGGGGTTAACCCCCCCCAGAATTGGAGATTTCTATAGAGGGCGTTCTATAGAAGTGGAGAAGAGCGCCTGATGGGTGCTGGAGGGGAAATAAATATACTTTTGTTCATGAAGAGCTCCGAACACCTCAACTTGGAGGGGGGAAGCCATCAGCCCTCTCTTATGCCTTCAGTGGGGCTGCGCTGCCTGAGACACGACATAAGTCGTTGCGTCCCCTGAAGTGCTCCGTGCCAGCCTTCACTCAGCCCGAATTGGGGTGTTTCACCCCATTCTGACCCCAGAATGGGGTGAACCCTTTGCCCTATTTGACTTTGAGAACTTCACAATGCCATCAGCTCTTGAGGGTGAGCAGAACAGGTCGGGGCTGTTTGCACCACCTGACGTGTCCGGGGTGGGAAGGTAGTGGGATTTCAGCACAACAATGCGTTTCAGTGCGATTTGCAGAGCTAAAGCAACGAGTTAAGCAATACAAATGCAGCGGAGCAGATGGAGCAATAAATTCCTCCATTATCAGCCGATGAAACATTTCATCCTTCACCTCATTACGAAAAAAAATCGGTGACACCGATCTTGCTGGCACGGGGAAATCGACCCGAAGGAATTCTGTCCCGGAGCCAGCGCTGTAATTTTATTTTATTGCTGCCTCAAAAGGCCCTTCGTGAGCTCCTGATAGGGGCAATTATTTTCCCTGAGCTGCAGCTTTGTGCAATTCCTCGCTCTCGGCTGTTTTCTCTTCTCCTTGGCCGATCGGCCCCGCGTTGTACCCGAGATGCGAAGTAATTGAGCTGCCAGCTGGAATGGATGGGCGGCCGCCCTGCGCCCCTGTGATGGGGATGGAGGGGGTTGGTGCTCAGAGCCACCTCCATCTGATGCATCTCTCCCACCCCCCCAGTCTTGGGGTGCCCACTGTTCAGTCCTGGGGTGCCCCCTTCCAGGTTTTGGGGTGCTCTCCCCTTGGTTTTGTGATACTCCCCTTGGTAGTGGGGTGCCCCCCAGGCTTTGGGATGCCCCTTCTTGACTTTGGGATGCCCCTACTTGGTTTTGGGATGCACTCTTTTGGTTCAGAGGGTCACCTCTTTGGGGTTTTAGGGAACTCCCCCCAGTCTTTGAAGTTCCTCCTTGGGTTTTGGGTTGCCCCCATGGTATTGGGGTACCAAACCTTTGGCTTTGGGAAGCATCCCCAGGCTTTGGGATGTCCCCCCTTGTATTAGAGTACCAACCCCTTGGTTTTGGGGGACCCCCTTTAGTTTTGAGGTGGCCCTTCAAGATTTGGTCCTTCTAGGCTTTGGGGTATCCCCCCCTCCATTTGATTGTTGGGTATCCCACCATTTGGTTTTGCAGTGCCTACCCCCTGGTTTTGGGGTACCCCCAAGCTTTGGGGTTTACCCTTGGTTTTGTTTTTCACCACCCAGGTCTTGGGGTGCCCTCTGACTGCAGCACCCCCCTCTCTTCCTTTTGTAGGAATTTCTTGCAGGATGTCCTGTTTGCAGGTGGTTCTGACAGCCCCCACAACAAGGTGATGCGGGGGCAGATCACCCTGTCCCAGGTGAGTGGTGAGCATGGTTGGGGAGGGGTCCATCAGCTGTCCCTATATGGGATGGAAGGGTCAGGGGTCTTGAGTTGAACCCTTTGGTTTTGTGGGATGGAGCTGTTGAAAGTGAGGTGTGAGGCTGCGGGTACTGCCTTGCCACAGGACTGTCTCTGATGGGATCTGGGGGTGTTTTCCAGCTCTTCTTGGAGGTGGATGAGGGTTGCAGACAGCAGGCCTCCACTGCAGGCATCACGTTACCAACCACCTTTTCCATCGCCCATGTGTTTGAGGAGATGGCAGCCAAGGGCACCCTCAATGCCCCACTGCTGCGGGCTGCCAGCATGCTCCGGAGGAATGGTGGGTGCTGGGGAGCTGTGGGGTATCCCTGCTCATTCAGGATGGAAAAGACCTCTCAGATCCCCAAGTCCAACCCTAACCCACCCCACCATGCCCACTGCTCACCCACTGTCCCTCAGTGCCACATCCCCACGGTTCTGGAGCACCTCCAGGTTTGGTGACCCCACCACCTCCCTGGGCAGCTGTGCCACTGCATCACTGCTCTTTATGAGAAGAAATGTTTCCTAATATCCAACCTGAACCTCCCCTCGTGCAAATTTGAGGCCATCACTTTCAATCCTTGGGGACAGGAAAGGCTGCACCTTTAGGTGGTTTTGGTGTTCCTGGGTGGTGTTGGGGTTGGTTTGTTACCAAGCAGAGCCTTGATGATCTTGGAAGTCTTCTTCAACCTCAGTGAATCTATGATTCTACTTAGGGACATGGCTTAGTGGGCAGGGTGGGAATGGATGCATGATTGGACTTGATGTTCTTAGAGCTCTTCTCCAAGCTTGATGATTCTATGATTCTAGAAGTAGGCATGGTGGTAGTGGATTGCCAGATCTTGATGGTCTTTTTCAACCTTAACAATTCTACGATTCTATTTAGGGACACAGTTTAGTGGGTATGTTGGGGATGGGTTGATGGTTGCACTTGACCATACAGCTCTTTTTTAACCTTTGCGACCCTATGATTCTGAGTAGGCATGGTAGTGATGGGTTGATGGTTGGACTTGATCATCTTGGAGGTGTTTTCCAACCTTAGTGACTCTACAATACAGTACCCATGATTGCATTCAAACGGCTTTAAAATATCTTTGGGGAAGGAGACCCCTAGCCTCTCTGGGCAGCCTGTGTCGCAGTCACAAAGCTTTCCCTCATCTCTGCCTTTCCCCAGGGTTTAAGACCTGCGTCTTCACCAACAACTGGGTGGATGACAGTGCGGGGCGGCTCTTCACCTCCTCTCTGCTGACCATGCTGCAGCGGCACTTCGATCTGCTCATTGAATCATGCCGTGTGGGGCTGCACAAGCCAGACCCCCGCATCTACACCTACACCCTGGAGGTGCTGCAGGCACAGCCACAGGAGGTACGGGTCACCATCGTCCCCTACAGCTTCCAAGATGCTGATGGTGATGCCCAGAGAGGGTGTAGGGTCTTCTCCTTAGGGAGCTCCAAAGCCCCTGTCCATGGGCACCCTATTATGGGTGGGGAAGAGGGGGATCCAGGGGTGCCTCTAGCCCCAAGCACCCTTGGGATCTCTGGACCCCTTTGTCTGGCATCTGCTCCAGGTGATCTTTTTGGATGACATTGGGGAGAACTTGAAGCCAGCCCGAGAGATGGGAATGGCCACCATACTCGTCAGGGACACCGACACCGTCCTGAAGGAGCTGCAGGAGCTGTCAGGTGTGCAGGTATGTAGTGGTGCCATGGGGACAACTTGACCCCCACTGGTTCATCAGAGCCTATTGGGTTCTGCTGTTTGGGATCTGGGAAGAGATTGGATCGTTATTCTCTGGTATAGGACTAGCAGTATTAGGGTGGGGTACAGCTTTGTGTGTCCACTGTCCTCTTCCTGATGGGAAGAGGAAGCAGGCACAGCTTCTCCATGAGCAACCCGTGGAGCATCATGCTGTGACCTTGCATCCAGTGCTACAGTGACTGCATGGCACTGCTGGGTGACACTGGAAGCTCAGCACTAGTAGATGCTGTACTTCAGCTTGGGACCTCTCCTTGCCTCGTAGCTTCTCCAGCAAGAAGAACCTTTGCCAACTGCCTGTGATCCAACCACCATGAGCCATGGATATGTGCCCATCCGGGTAAGAGGGACAGCAAATTGTGGTGGGGACAAATGTGCTACTGAGGGCTCTAGGACATAGGCAGGGATTTGTCACCTAGCATCATGCTGTGCTGGAGGGGCTGAGCTGCGTGGTGCTCCCTATCCACCCTGTGACTAAATGCCATGCATGTGGCTCAGGAGCACCCAGGGGGTTCTGAGGGTGCTGGGTGCTGAGGGTTCTCTGTCCCCACAGCCTGGTGTGCAGCTGCACTTTGTGGAGATGGGGCATGGCCCTGCTATCTGCCTGTGCCACGGCTTCCCCGAGTCCTGGCTCTCCTGGCGCTACCAGGTAAGGGGATGGGGAAATGGGATGGCCATGTTGGCGTGGTGACACACCAGGCATTGTGCCCTGCCATGTACCTACAAATGGGTTTTTGGAGGTTTCTGTGATTTTCTGCTTTCCTTTTGGGGGTTTCCATGTTTTTTACTGCTTGCTTTCTCAGATTCCTGCCCTGGCTGATGCTGGCTTCCGTGTCATTGCTTTGGAGATGAAGGGCTACGGCGAGTCCACAGCACCACCAGGTGAGCAGTACCCATCCTTCCCCATGGGATCAGAATGTAGCCATGAGCATCCCAAGGTTTTTCCCATCCCTTTGTGCTGGATAAGGGGCTCAGAGAATGGTGTCTGCTGTTGCTTGTCCCCAGCTGGGTGGTATTTGGCACAGGGCTCCTTCACCCTGCGGAGGCAGAGGGGCTGTTGTGATCCCTTTAGATAAATGGGAATGCTGCAATGATGGGAATTCTGTCTTTTGTGCAGAGATAGAAGAGTATTCCCAGGAGCAGATCTGTAAGGTGAGGAGCTGTGGTGCCAAATGCAGATGGGAGGGCTGGAGCTGGAGGCCTGGGTTTGGCTCCTGCATATGGGTGAGACCCATGAGGGGGACCTCAGCCTCTGCTTGACAATGAATGTGGGACCCTCTGACCCCAGTCTTCTCCATCCTGCAGGACCTGACCGTTTTCCTGGACAAACTGGTAAGAGCCCCCCCCCACCTGCGTCCATGTCTCTGCAGCTTGTGCTCTCCCTGTGTGCTGTGGATATGAATTTCAGGACATGCCTCCCAAGATCTATAGGGATATCCTTATAGGGTCTGTCAGCTCCTGTTCTGTGTTGCCACCTCCAGTCTTTGGCTGAGCATATTGATATGGTGCCCACCTCCATGAGAGCATCATCCCATGGCAAACCCTTTGGAATCACAGCAGATCCTGGAGCACTCAACCTGGCAGCCCCCATCCCCTTTTTGTAGGGTTTTGGCTCCCATCCCCCTTTTGGGAAAGGGTTAAACCACAGCACAGATCCTCGCCAGCCTCAGCTTGCCCCCTTGCCATCCTCGGGGAGCTCTTGTGCTGGAAGGGAGTTTTAATTATATTTCTAAACATCAGCTAATTACAGACCGTCTGCTTCGTTGTTGTGAGCTGGTGTTTTAATTGGATTTGTTTGTAGGAGCCCGGGGGTGTCAGTAAGGAGGAAGGAAATGTGGGGAGCAGAGCAGTGGGTGTAGGATCTGGCTGCCCTGCAGGGTGCTGCCAGCTCCTCCCAACCCTATATCCCACTGTCACCTGGGGGCTGGTTCCCATAGGTCCCCCTGCAGGACCCCACGCTCTACCCTCTCCTCCATCTCCATCCCACTGATAGCGAAAGACCCCCCAAAAGAAAGAGAAAAGTGCTGTTTTCTGATCTTTTTTTAATGCTTTTTGGGAAAGGCAAAGCTCTCCATGCTCAGTGCTTAGGGTGCTTTGAGTCGGGGGGGTCATTGGGCTCACTGGGATGTTTACCTTGGGGTTGCACTCACTAGAGTGCTCTCCTTAGGGATATACTCAGTGGGATGCTCACGTTTGGTTTGTGTTCATTGGAATGCTCTCCTTTGGGATGTAATCACTGGGATCCTGGCCATGGGGATGAGCTCAATGGGATGCTCTCCTTGGGGACACGCTCACTGGGATGCTTGCCATGAGGATGAGCTCAATTGAATGTTCTCTTGGGAATGCACTCAATGGGATGCCCTCCTTGGGGATATGCTCAGCAGGATGCTCCTTTTGTGTTGAACTCCGTGGAATGCTCTCCATGGGGACGCACTCATGGTCCCCCTCCCTGTCCCTGTCCTGCAGGGCATCCCACAAGCTGTGTTCATCGGCCACGACTGGGGTGGTGCAGTGGTCTGGAACATGGCCCTCTTCTACCCCGAGAGAGTGAGGTGGGTTCATACCTCACTGCCCTTTTGGGGCATCCCTGCTGGGAGCACCCCGTTGCCTGTCATCCTCCAGGGGGTGCCTGGCTTTGCTCTCCATGTTGACTATGCCCCCTGCATTGTCCTAGGGCCGTGGCCTCACTGAACACCCCATACCGACCAGCAGACCCCACAGTGGACATCGTGGAGAAGATGAAAAGCTTCCCTATGTTTGATTACCAGTTCTACTTCCAGGAGCCGGTGAGTCAGAAATGGGGGACCTGCCCCTGTTGGGGTCCCTAATGTGCACGATCTTTGCCTACCCCATAGCTGGATCCCCAGTGCCATCCTAATGCCATGGGGCACCCAATATCACCCCACTGCCCCATCTTACACCGCAGGGCGTCGCAGAGGCTGAGCTGGAAAAAGACATTGGCCGTACCCTGAAAGCCCTTATCCGTTCCACCCGCCCGGAGGTAGGAGAGGAGCTGGGAGGGAAAAGGATAGACCTGGGTGGGGGGAGCAGAAGAATTTGGGGATGGCTTTATACTGCCTACGGTGCTCTTCAAGCATGCTCCACCTGCGTCTGCTGCCCTTTCTGCCTGCAGCACAGCCTGCATTGAGCTGCCATCAGCAGGGACCAGAGCGAACGCATCTCTGTGAGCAGCGTGGGGCTCACAGCCCTGTAGAGTGATGAGACACTGCAAAGCTGTGCTTTGAGGAAGGGGATGCATTGAGGAAGGGGATGCATTGAGGAAGGGGATGCATTGAGGAAGGGGTGGCATTGAGGAAGGGGATGCATTGAGGAAGGGGATGCATTGAGGAAAGGGATGCATTGAGAGAAAGGTATGGTTTCTGCATCCTTTGGGATGCAGCAGCGTTTGGTGTTGGCTCATGGCAAGGTAGGGCTCACAGCCCCACGTTAGCCATGCATGACCCCCCCAGCACTATGCCATCTCTTCAGGACCGCCTGCACTCGGTGCCCGGCCTGCTTGGTGTCCAGGAGCGAGGTATGGGGCTTCTTGGGGGCACAGCTCTGCAGTGGGGCTGAGCTGGGGGGTGGCCATGCTCCCATTGCCTTGCTTTGTGCTGTAGGGGGGCTGCTGGTTGGCTTCCCAGAAGACATTCCTGAGAGCCTCATCTTGCACGGTGCTGAGCTGCAGTACTACATCGAGCGCTTCCAGAGGTCTGGTTTCAGGTAGGAGCAGTTCTGTGCCCCTGTAGGGCCGTGTCATGGGATGGACTATGGGATTGGTGGAGCTGAGCCCTAGTTCCCCATTCCCTTTCTCCAGAGGTCCACTGAATTGGTACCGGAACATGAGACCCAACTGGCACTGGGCACTCTCAGCCAAGGACAGGAAGGTGGGCACTGGGATCTCCTTCATAGAAGCAATGTATGGGGCCACCACAACTCGGATAAGTGTCATCCTATGTGTCCCATTGCAGATCCTTATGCCAGCACTGATGGTGACAGCGGGGAAGGATGTGGTGTTGCTCCCTAGCATGAGCAAGGGCATGGAGGAGTGGGTACGCATGGCCCCATCCCAAAGCCATTGGGGTGGAGGTGCTTCCGTGGGAGCTCCAATGGGAATGGAGCTCTGGGGGTGGGAATTATGCTGGGATATGGGCTGGGATGTGGGATGTGGGGAGTTAAGGAGGGTTGCAGGGGGTTATGGAGGGGGTAAGGGAAAGAATAAAGGGTGGGTAAAGAAGGGGAGGAATAAAGGAGGAATAAGGGAGGAATAAGGTGTATAATGGTAGGAATAAGAGAGGAATAAGGGAGGAATAAGAAGGGAATAATGAGGAATGGAGGGGAATAAGGGAAGAATAAATAAGGAATAAGGGAGGAATAAAGGGAGGATAAGGGGGGAATAAGGGAAGAATAAAGGGGGGGTAATAAGGGAGGAATGGGAAGGACTAAAACAGGAATAAGGGAGGGATAAGAGGGAAATTAGAGTGTAAATTAGGAGGGAATAAGGGGGAAGGATAAGAAGGGGAATAAGGGAGGATGACGAGAAGATACGGATATAAAGGGAGAAATAAGAAACAGATAAGGGAAGGAAAAGGGGGAAATAAGGAGGGGATAAGGGGAATATGGGAAGAATAAGGGTGGATAAAGAGGGGATGGGGGTTAAGGGTGGGATAAGGAGGGCATCAGGAGGGGCGAAGGGGTGGCATTTCCTTCCCCAGCAGAGGCAGGAGGGGTCTGCTCCTGGCTCAGCCCCCTCCTGCTTCCCCCCAAAGATCCCACAGCTGCGCCGGGGGCACCTGGAGGCGTGTGGCCATTGGACACAGATGGAGAGGTGAGGGCTGGGAAGGGGGACCCAGGGCTGGGCCCCCCACTCTATGCCAACTCCAACTCCAACCCTACTCTCTGCATCTCCCCAGGCCCGCAGCCCTGAACAAAATCCTGGTGGAGTGGTTGGAGGACCTCCCTCCAGATGGGGCCATGCTGAGGGTATCTCGGCTGTGAGCATCCCTGCAGCTCCATCCCAGGGCTCCCCTCGCCCTGGGGTTATGCTGGAAGGGGGGATTTGGTAAGGAGGTCTGGATGCACTGACGCTGCTGCTGCTTCAGGAATTGCCTTCTGCCTTTGTAACACAGAGAAATAAAGCACACGTGGGGTTCAGCCCCCCACTGCTTCTCCCGTGGGGTCTTCAGTACGTGGGTTGGTGCTGCATCCCTGCAGTGCCAGGCTCATCCCATTGCTGTTTGCTGAGCTCCAGGCCCTTGCTGCGGCCTCACAAAGCTTGGAGCAGACAGCCAGGATGGTGGAAGGGCTGGGCAAACATGCCTGGTATTTCCCCTCCTTTCCCCCACACCCTCCCCACCAACTCTTCCCCAGCCCTCAGATATTTTCAGCCTGGGATTTGTGGTTTGTCTGACTGCAGGAAGGGTTGCAACACTGTCTGCTTTTGTCATTTGTTTTTGTTGGAGGTGGGCAGGAGTGGGAGGACCCAGTTGCACCCCCAGCACCTCGCAGAGCCCCAACCTGTTGTATGCAGGGCTGCAACGTGCGGTATCCCCAGACCCTGCAGCACCCCTGGGAATGGCTTTCACAGGGGGGATCCCAAACCCCTTTCCCTCATTACACGCCCTATAAACCATCTGCAGTGCCACAGCAGGATGGTGCTCCAGCAGGACATTGTTCTAGCAGCCCCTGGCCTCAATCCCCACCCCAGGCCCCCCTCCTGCAGCCCCACTTGGCTTCTTCAGCCCCATAGGTGCAGGTGTACCCTGTGCATATGCATCTTCAGTTCCTTGGCTACACACACATATAACCCCAAGGGTGCGTGCATCCTTGTTCACCTGGGTGCACACATCCTTAGCCCCGTTGGGTGCATGCATCCTGGTTCCTTTGAGTGCATGCATCCTTGTTCCCGTGGGTGCATGAATCTTAGGATTATTATTGAGAGGAAAAATCGTTACCTGGCCCTAAAATGAGTGGGGAGTCAGCAGTTTGGCTTTGGCAAAGCGTAAATCAGTGTTGATGTATTTCTGGGCTGTTGGCAGTGTTTAGGTGCTGGCTGGCACCCACAGCAGCAGCAGTGGGTTAATGAGTGTTTGCTGCAAAGTGCAAAGGTCTCTCTGGGCCCTACATGTTTTGCTCAGCTCAGATCTCAGCACCAAAGTGCTGCTTTGCAAACCGGATCGTGGGGTGGCTCCCTCTGCTTTTAACGGGGTCTGTCCCCAACCCTTCAAGGCTGCAGGGCCATACAGTGAGGACATGGTGGGCTCTCCCCCCTGCAGGCCCCATTGGCTATGGGAATGGAAGCAATTAACAGAGCAAAGGGAAAAAAGCCCTTGGAGACTGAGAAGCAAAAGTAAAGGATAAAAGCTGACTGTAATTAAATTCTGTCTTTTATTTTTTAATGGAGAAGAAAAGAACTGTTTTCTGGCTGGAAGGAGCAGTGCTCAGATCATTCTTGACTCTCAGATACTCAGCTGCAGCAAAGCACCGCTGCCCCAGACGTCCCCATTTGTTATAGGGGCAGTGGTGGCTCTCAAAGTCCCCTCAGCTTTACCCAGCCCTGGGGAGGCAGCAATATGGGCAGACCCTGCAGGCACGGGGCAGAGCCTGAGCTGGGATCCTTGCAGTTTAGAAGGGCATTGCAACTGGAGAACACACTGCAACTGGGGAACGCACTGCAACTGGGGAATGCATTGCAATGGAGAACACACTGCAATTGGGGAATGCATTGCAACATGACAGTGAGGAGCTTCAAAGGTGTGATATTCCTACAGGTTTCACAAACATAATGTTTTTGGAGGGAGGCCCAGAGCAGGACCCTGGTTCTGTCACAACAAGAAGACTGCAGCAACCTCAGCTCAGCCCTGGCTGGCACCAAATAACTGTGCTCCAGCAATGGTGTTCTCCCCTGGGTGCAGCCAAGAGCCTGCAGACACCCAGCTGGCGAGTGGAGATGGGGGGAGAAGGGGGAGGACTGCTGCACCTCTGCTGTTAATTAGTAATTTCTGGGCTATGTTTGGAGCTCTGCTGACCTTTGTGCACCCGCAGCTGTGAGCAGGGCGGGCGAGGAGGCGGCTGACCCCAATCAGCCCCATAGCTGGCTAATTATTCATCACTAACTGCTGTGGTGCAGTTAGGGAAACCTCAGCAGGGGTTCAGGGTGGTCAGTGGGCCAAGGAAATTTGGAGGTGGATGGGAGGAGATGTGGAGAGCTCTGAGGGAGGTGTTGGAGAGAGAAAGGTTCTTCAGGCTCTTGCTCTGTAATTAAAAGCAATTAGTAGTTGCACTGTGTCTTGCTCCCAATGGCACAGCAGAGTGCATTGTGGGTGCCAGGCAAGCGTGCAAAAGCATGGAGCATCCCTAGTGCATCCCAGTGCCTGTGTGCACACCCAACCTGAACCCCTTTGTATGCATGCAACCCACAACCTGGAAGGGCCGTTTCCTTTAGCCCCATTGGATGTCCCCTTCAGGGACCCTTCCCACAGGAGGATCTCCTCCCTGCAGCCCCAGGGTTTGCAGCATCCCCCCCCCAGCCTGGGGCAAAGGGCACAGCCCCTCTGCTCCTCCTGCAGAGGGCTGTTACTCATTATCCCCCCTGGGCCTGGGGAGGGGCTGCTTGCTGAGCCAGGCAGCAGCAACCCCACATCACTCCACGTCATCCCCCCACGTCGTCCTGCGTTGATCTGCCTTGTCCTGCATCAAACCCCACAGCACCCCACGTTTTCCATCCAGCAGTATGGTAAGGAGGGGAGGGGGGCACCCCATTGTGGGGTAGCATTTGGGGTGGAGGGGGGCTATTATTTATTGTGACTTTTGGTAAGGATCGGTTAACAAATTAAATGATGTGGTGAGAAACCAGAAAGGTTTATTGTAAGAAAGGGGGGAGGGAGGAAGCAGATTCCCTTTATGGGATAGGATCAGGAATTGAACAGGATTTTCTGACCCACCGAACATCTCTTTTCCTCAATTTTGTTCTTTTTTCCCCCATGTATTTCATAAAGTCTCCCTGTTACCCTGGCTCTGCATCTGTAACTCATCCCATCCCCCTCCTCACCCCCAGGGCTGTGAGCTGTGGGATCAGCATTGCTCTTGATGGCCCTGTCCCCAGGCAGTGTCACCTCCCTGGGCAGGGTGATGGGCCATCAGGCAGTGTCCCTGCCCTGCCCTGGGGGAGCTGGGATGGGAGCACTGGGATGAGGGGGATGGAGGAGCTGGGGTACCCCTGTTGCTCCCTGGAGAGGTTTGGTTAGATTTGGGGTGTCCTCCTATAGGGTCTGCTTTTTGCATGTCCATGCAAAGCGGGTTGGGAGCTGAGCCCAGGTCTATCAAACTGGTGCAGAAAAAGCTGTGCAAAGTGTGAGAGAATGGGGTGGGCTGTGCTGATGGGAGATGCCTACAGCAATCCTCCCACATCTCCCCACTGACTGTGGGGACATCGCCAGCAGGGTGTTGGGCTGAGATGAGCTTCTGTGTCCTCAGTAACCAGCTCCTGTGGAAACCCAGCCCTGGTACGGGGGCTTTGACTGACAAAGGATGAAGAGCAGGGGAGGCATTTCACACAATCACAGACACATTCCAGTTGGAAAAGATCACCAAGCCCACTGTCCCTCAGTGCCACATCCCCAGGGTTCTGGAGCACCTCCAGGGATGGTGACCCCACCACCTCCCTGGGCAGCTGTGCCAATTCCCAACCACTATTTCAGAGGAGAAATGTTTCCTAATACCCCACCTGCACCTCCCCTGGCACAACTTGAGGCCATTACTTCTTGTACTATCCGTTCTGCTCTGTTTCACGTCTTGATTTTGACCCAGGTTCACGGCCAAGGAGGAGTCAAGTTCCAGAACTGGGCCAAGACTTATGGCTCTTCCCCAGAGCTGTACTTCCAGCCCACCTCAGTGGAGGAGATCCGGGAGGTAAGGAGGATCTCCCAGAGCCTGTTAGGAACGAGGGGAGAAATGGCCAGCGAGGGCAGTGCTGCTTCATTGGTTGGACTGGATGATCTTATAGGTCTTTTCCAACCTTAGTGATTCTGTGATTCATTGTGTTCAGATGGCTCCCAGCCATGACAGCATGGATCCTTCCCTCAGCCCCAAGTTGTGGCCCAACCTTCTGAGCCACGGATAAGGGCATCACCTCTTTTGGGGTGATCCCAAGGGCTGTGCTGGGAGGAGACTTGGTTCCAGGGGTTGCTTTGGGCCTGAATGGTGAATTCTCTGTGTAAAATGGGTGAGGCTTGATGTTGTAACGTGCCTCTGTCATCATCCATGGTGTATTGGGTGCTCAGGGGGGTGTGTGTTGCCCCCACAGATCCTGGATATGGCCCGACAGCGGAACAAGAGGGTGAAGGTGGTGGGGGGTGGCCACTCGCCCTCTGACATCGCCTGCACCGATGACTTCATGATCCAGATGGGGAAGATGAACAAGGTCCTCAAGGTGAGGCGTTGGTGGCCCTGGGATATGGTGGCACTTGCCTTGGTGTGGGGATGGGTGGTATGGCACCAGTCCCAATGTACTTGGGATGGAGGATGAGGGGGTCTTTCTCTCACAGTAAGGAGTTCTCCCAAACCAGACCCTGAAATGGTGCCAGAACAGGGGGTGGGAGTTTTCCCATTGTGCAGAAGCCTTGTGGCATTGTGTAGAAGCCTTCCCCTTGTGTAGAAGCTTTAGGAGCGTGTGGAGCTGCCATAAAAATGCAAGGGAGTGAGGATGTCTTCCCAAATTGTGTTTGAGGAGGGCTAAATATCTACGCATTGTCCTCTCTATGGCATGCTCATAAATCATTTGGGTTGAAAAAGACTTCTGAGATCCCCTAGTCCAACCCTAATCCACACCACCATGCCCACTGCCCACATCCCTCAGTGCCACATCCCCACGGTTCTGGAACACCTCCAGGGACAGTGACCCCACCACCTCCCTGGGCAGCTGTGCCACTGCATCACTGCTCTTTTGGAAAAGAAATTTTCCCTAATATCCAACGTGAGCTGTTGCATTTCTCCTGCTTTGCATCCAGTTCTGAGGGTGCAGGGAGACACTGGGCTTTTAGTGGGGCCGAATGGCCTGTGTGCATGCATATACATGTGTATCTGCATATTTGCATGTGTGTGTGCAATAGAGGGTGAAGAAATCCTGATTGTAGCATAAAATTCTGAGAGTTGTATCATTGCTGGTAATTAGGGAGCAACTCCTGCCCTGCCTGCCAGAAGCAGGATGCACAGCTCCAGCAGTGCAGGTTGTCCCATCCTTTGCAGGTGGACAAGGAGAAGCAGCAGGTGACGGTGGAAGGTGGGATCTTCCTCTCAGATCTGAACGTGGAGCTGAGCAAGCATGGGCTGGCGCTGGCCAAGTGAGTGGAACACGTGTGCTGGGCCATCCTTAGGTGTCTTCCAGGTGTCCAGATTTGCCCCACGTTGAGTTTAGCAGGATGGGTATGTTTGGAGAGCTTATGCTGCAGTGCATGGGTGTTTGCTTTGGGATCTGATGGGGCATGCAGAGTGATCCCAGCTGGTCCAACCACCTCCTGCTTGCAGTGGTGTTCAGGAAGGGGCTTGCAAAGGGAAACAGGCAAGGAGAGCTGACCTCTGCTGAACCAAGGGAAGAAATTGCTCTTTTATTCCAGGCTGGCTCAGTATACAATCATAGAATGGCATGGGTTGGAAGGGACCCCAGAGATCAAGTTCCAACCCTCCTGCCACAGGCAGGATCACCAACCTCCAGATCTGGTAGTAGACCAGGTTGCCCAGGGCTCCATCCAACCTAGTCTTGAACAGCTCCAGAATCCTGCATCCCCCAGTTGATATGAGTGATGGGTTTTTCATAAGCCCTCCGTGGTCAAATGGCCAGTGATGTGGATGGGGACAGCAGGATGTTCATGGAAGATAAATCTATCAAGGGCTTTGCAGCATGCATAGAGAATGAGCCTGGTTTAGGTGGTCCCTGTATCCCAGCTGTTGGAAACTGGAGGGGGATTTGGGGGAAATGGCAGGAACAGCACACCATTAAGAGGTGGCTTTAGCCTTCTGCCATTCCCATGTGCCTGCTTTTGCCATGGCTGGGGAGACAGAATGTGGGAGATTTCTCCATGCCAGTGAGTCACTGCAGGCTGATGGAGAGAAATGGGGACTTGTCAGATGGGACAAGCTGGGCTGGCAGATGTGACCACCTCTCTTTTCCTCTCCGTGGACTAAAGCAGGATCCTGATAGATATGACCCAAAGAGAAGTTCACATATAGTCAAGAAAAACACTCATGGCTGCAAGGTGCCCTGAAGGGCAGAAAACCCTGCTCAGAGGGGCTGGGGCACGTTCTGGGGGATTCTGTGCCAACACACAGGGTCAACATACAGCTCAGTACACTGTACCCCATGCCGTGTCCCACATACTCAGGTCCTCACCCAACTTCATCTGCCAACAGCTTAGGAGCAGTTTCTGAGGTGGCAGCAGCTGGTGTGATTGGGACAGGGACGCACAACACTGGGATCAAACATGGCATCCTCCCCACCCAGGTGAGTCACAGTGTCAGTGTGTGGATGTTGGGTTCTGAGGGCTACAGGGGCTGTATCCCATTGTCCCATCATCTGGTCTGGGGCTAGCATGTCCCATGAAGGACAATGACCCCAAATCCCCCATGGGTCAGCCCAACTCATCCCCTGGGCACGCTGAGACCTCTTCTGCCACCTAAAACATGATCCAGCCCCAGTCTCCTTTGTCCCTATGCTTTATTGTCTTGTAATCCGATGAAATTGGTGGAGATGTGTTGACTTGGCCATTTCAGTGCTCTCTTCCAATCTTTGTGATTCTATGAAATAGGAGAAAGCATGTAGTTCTGCTCTTATTGAACCCTCCCCACGCTGAACCTTTGCAGGGTCCAGGTCTGTTGTTAACTGGACGGTTATGAAAATGCTCCACTCCTATCTCAGATCCTACATGGTGATCCCACCAATGGTTGTGGAGGTGTGAAATCATCTGGGGGAAGGGGAGGTTTACTTCTTTAATCGATGGTTTTTCCCAGTGCCCTTGAGAGACAGAAGGGTCCTTTTATGTCAGCACAGAAGGTGACAGAAGGAGGAGATATAGGGTCTGGGACACCAGATTGGGTGCTTACTGATGCCTGACTTTGCTCCCGGCAGGTTGTAGGGCTCTCACTGCTGACAGCCTCAGGGGACATCCTGGAGTGCTCTGAGTCCATCAATGCAGACATCTTCCAGGCTGCCCGCCTGCACCTTGGCTGCCTGGGTGTTGTGCTCACCGTTACCTTCCAGTGCGTGCCCCAGTTCCACCTGCACGAGGTGACCTTTCCATCCACTCTCACCGAGGTATGGTGTTGGCTGTCCCTCCTTGGGGATAAGCAGAGTTTCCTGGTAGAAATGGTTGGAGGGAGATTGGGAAGTGGTAGGAAATACCGTGAGTGTGCTTAGGTTGTACCCGTCGTGTAGGTTGTAACTGTTGCGTAGGTTGTACCTGTTGTGTGTCTTCATGTTGTGCTTCGTGGTGTCCTTTAAGCTGGGAATTGATCATGATGACCAAGGAGAGGTTGGTCAAGGAGAGAAATGCCATTTTTACTTACCATGAGTGGGAATAGCATCTTCTGGACCTGGGACCAGAGTGGTGTGGGGTCTCCTCCTTGGGATCTCCCCAAGCCCCTGTAGTGCTGGGCACTGTGATCTGGGTGGCCCTGCTGGAGCAGGGAGTGACCAGAGATGGTTACCTCTAATCCCAAGCACCCTGGACTCTGGGGTACTGTTTTCAGCCCTGAATCTGTCTCAGGGCAGTTCAGTGGTATAAAGGAAACCTCATCTTCATCACTGCTCTAACATTTTCACCTTTCAGCCATTCCCAGGCTCCTCTTTTTCCAACTGGTTTGGATTGTTGAGGGTATTTTAATATTTATTTATTTATTTATTTTGCATTTACCCAGTCTGAGATCCAAATAACTGGTTTTAATATCCTGGACCAGCATCTGTACAGCCCCATGGCTGTGTCTCAGCCTCTCAGCATCAGCTGTCCCCTGCCTGACTCAGCACGGAGGTGGCAGAGGTGGGACCCAGGTTTCCTGGCTCAAAGCCCCCATTCCTTGTGCATCACCCTGCTTTGTTTTAAGTCATTCCCACACCTGATGGGTTTAAATCACTCCCACATCTTGTGGATTTCAATCACTTCCATATCTTGTGGGCAATGCGTGATGCAGATTTAATGTTCCAGCTGGAGAATATTGTCCTGGCTGGAAATCCCAGGCTGCCAAGCCAGTGTGCTGGCTAATCTAAGCAAGAAGAAGGGGAGAAGTTTGTGCCTCCACTGCTCTGCATCCCTGGCAGCCAGTAATGCTGCCAATGTACCATGAACCTGGTGCTTCAGGGATGGGCTGCCTCCATTGTGCTGCCTCCTGAGAACCAGAGCTTTGCTTTTCCCAGTGACAGATGGGCCACCTAAAATAGTCTGGGAGCAGCTTGGTCCTAACTTTGTCCCTTCTTGTTTGCAAGCTCTGGGGGTTTTCAGGATGGGGACCCCATCTTCCAGCACAAAGGTTGGGTTTAACCATTGTTTTTTGAGAGGAACCATGTTTCCTTCCAGGGAACTATGAAAGGGCACAATGGGTGGCACACTTCCAGGCCACACTAACAAATTCCTTCTCAGCTCTCAACCACAGAGCTGCATGTAGCTGTGAAAAGCTCCTTTTAAACCATTTGTCATATTGCTACTGCCCACGTCATCTCCATCTTACCAAGGGTTCCAACCTCCACAACTAAGGTGTATGGCACTAGTGGCCCATCTGAAGTATCCTGTGGAGTTTTGACCCCATCTTGCACAGCTCTGAAAACCTCATATGGTGTCACTTCTTGGCAACTTCTGCTGTCTGTCTCCTCCTTGTTGTCTCCTCCCCATGGCACGCAACGCATGAAAGGGCACTGAGGAAAGCAGAAGTTTGGGTTCCTTCTGGCTCTGGGGCTGAGCCATAGGGCTCTGGCACGGAGCTCAGCAATTCAACAGTTGGACTTGATCACCTTAGTGGTCTTTTCCAGTCTTTATGACTCTATGAGTCCCTTGGAGCCCTCCCACCCTCGTATTGTCGCAGTGTTGGATGGGGTGGCCCCTCCAGGGCTGGGACATAACCTGTCCCATGTCACCAACAGAAGGTCATGACTGGAGGCCAAAGCCAACAGCACTGCACCACCTGTGAGCAGACTGTTGTGAGACCTGATGGCCTTCCAAACACTGTGGGGACAGACTGCATTCACTGAAGGAGTTACCTTTCTGGATGGGGAAACTGAGGTACAGAGTCCAACAGATGGAAGAAATCAGTGGTGGTGGAGAGCTTCCAGAGCTTGGATCTGCTCCAATCATTGATTATCTGTGTCCTCCTAGGAGGTCTGACATCCCTGCTGGTGTACAAACCTCAGCAGCATCTTCATACCTCATCCCATCTCAGTCTCACAGGTCCAGTTCCAGCTTTGGCTAACACCAGCACAGAGCTTCGTTAAGCTGAGCTCATGAAAAATGAAAACTTCTTGGACACAACAGTGGAATTTGTTGCAGGACTGATCAGAACCGCAGTGATGGTAAAGCTCTGAGAAATGCTGTCCTTAATTTTTTAAGGCCTGAATTATTCAGTGCCCCGTTGGGGTGACTTGAGCACTGCCAGCAAAGTGAACTGATGCGGGATCATCTTCACAAACCCTGATCCGTAGCAGCCTGGTGGCCTTCAAGTTGTGCTATGGGTGGTTGGGCTGGAAGGAAGGCAGGAAGGTCTATGCACACCACTCCAGCACCTGTGGCATCTCCATCCATCACCCAGCAGAGCAGCCAGAGCTGTAGCACTGTGGGCATCCCTGGAGATGTTTCCCCACAGCACCCTCTTGGCCAGCACTGAGCTCCTTGCAGGTGTTTCCAGTTGCACAGGGGATGATTGCATTGAATAATTCAGCCTGCAGCTTCCCTGGTGTCCTGTGGCAGAGTTTGCCTGCTTTAAATGCATTAAAGTGTGGTAGGATCTGCTGGCTCCTTATGGCTTGATCCTCATCTATCCTACAGCACTGCTCAGACCTTCACTTCAACTGGCATCACCTTTGGCCAAGCAATCTCTAAGTGTCTGGGGTTGGAAGGGACCTGTGGAGGTCATCTGGTCCACCCTCTGCTCATGAGATGCCTTTCCAGTGCCTTCTGCCAGGTTTCTGTCCCTGCTGCTGAGCATCCTCATCACCTCCCATGGGATGGGGTCTCATCTTCAGGGATCTCCCAGAGCTGTGATGCTGGGTATGACATGGGCAGAGCAACGGTGCTCAGGCTTAGCAGTGCACTGGACCTTCCCTAACAGCAAATCTGCCCTTGAAGGTGCCAGTCGTTTTACACCTCCTAATCTGCCTTTTAGCAAGAAGTGCCGTGCTGAGCAGTTGTGTTTGGGACATGCCCATAGCCCCATAGGGCTGGAGTGTCTTTCCCTGTCCCTCGGGGCTAGCAGGGCAAAGCAGGGATGCACCCTATAAATATTAATGCCATTATCAATCCTCGGTTGTCGCTGCTCCTCGCTTGCTTCCACATCTCCAGCTTTCATGTTGAGTGGCCCAGCGAGGCGGAAGAGAATAATGGCAAGGGAGCAGGCTGCTTGAAATATTTAAGCCTGAGTTATCTAAGACGTTGCAAATAATATATGTGTCAAAGGAGCCAGGCTTGGATTTGCGATTATGTAAGATCTGCTTGCCTTCTTTTCTGGCCTCGTGACTGACTTTATCACTGGAATATGCTCAGCTGCTCTGGCTGCTGATGGTGACTGGGAACAAAGCACAGATAGAGAGGATTCGTGGCACAGCTGAGGTCACCTGAGCCCCATAGCATGTGCTGGGATGGTGATGGGGCTGAGCTCAGCCTCTCCTCAACCCAACCCGATGGGAAGCTAAAAAGGGTGAGGATGGGCCAGAATAAGATGCTTGTTCCACTGATGAGTTTCCCAAAAATTCCAGCACTGGAATTTTTGCAGTTGGAGGGCTGAAGAAGTTTGGCCATGAGCCCATCACTGCTGAACCCAAACCCAAAATTCTTTTGAGATGGGAAGGTAGTGATAGAACAAGGAGGGACTGTTTTAAACTAAAAGGGGGAGGTTTAGGTTACATCTTATGGGGAAATTTTGTCCTCAGAGGGCAATGCCCAGAAAGCTGTGGGCGCCCCATGCCTGGAGGTGCCCAAGGCCATGGATGGGTCCTGGGCAGCCTAAGCCAATAGGGCCCACAGCAAGGATTGGGGGTGTTGTATTCTTCCAACTGAGGTTCTATGATCTTTAAGGTTCCTCCCAGCCCATTCTATGTCTCTGTGATCATTGAGTACTCTTCCAATCCAACTGTTCTATGACTCTACAGTCTTTGAGATCTCTTCCAACCCAACTCATTCTATGTGTCCCAGGCCCCTAGGACACGTCCCCAAGCCTCATTGTGCGCCTCATCCTGGTGCTGTACCTAACCTGATCCCTCCTGCCCAGCAATGCTGAAGTTGCCTTTAATGCGCAGATGCAGATCTTCCATTTGGAAGCATGGGCATGGGGTGACATTTAGCACCAGCATCCTCTCCCAGAACACAAGCTCTCCACGCTTCCTGGCTCTGATGGACCTGGAGGACATGTGCCAGTGGCTTCACACTCCTTATCCCCCAAGGCCTGTTTTAACCCAGCCTTTATGCAGCGAAGGGATTTGTTCTAGGAAAGCAAAATGAAACTGAGCCGAACTCCCCCGGGGCTCAGCGTGCTCCTGGGCCATCTTCGTTGCGTGCAAAAAGATTTCTGCTGTGCGTCCTCTGCCTCCAACCCAGGCAATGTCCCCAAGGACTCCCACTGCTCCCCCCGGCTTTGCAATTATCCTACAAAGCCTCCAGCTGATTTCCTTCGGGCTGATCTGGCTCTATCAGAGGGATCAAAGGCACACATTGAAGAGGTCGCCCTGCTAACAATTTGCTTGCGCTCTCGGAAGGAGGAGAAAGAGCTGCAGGATCACCTTGAGAGCTGCTGCCTTTGCACGCTTCTCCCCCTAACTTGTTTTAGCTCCTCGGTGCACTTGTTCCTAATACAAACCAGAGAATGTATGGGGTCGTGGCTTTTGCCCTGTTCCTGCTTGCACAATCATTGACTGCTTCCTTGGGGAGTCATGGAGTTTCAAACAAGGACTTCTCCAGCCAGAAAATGGGAATTTCTCTATAGGGTTTCACGGCTCAGTGTGCCCTGTGAATGCGTAGTTAATGACAGCAGCGTGAGGTCATTAATTCCCGTTAATTGCAAGAATGGCTGTTCACTGTCCACCACTGAGGTTGCACTACCACGTGACCATGCAATGGCCTTAACCTCATGGTGAGGTCACAGCAAAATGCTCAGTGCTGAAGCAGCCCAGCCTGGTGATTAATAGCTCATTAGTACAAATAACCCAAATGGCCCATCTGGAATTGAGCAGCCATGACCTCCCTGGGGTTATGACCATGGGTCACCACACCCTGCATGCTTCTCTTGTGTCAAGCAAACTGGGTTTTCTTTAAGCTTTCTTGCAAAGCTAAGAGGGATCTCTGCCAGGAGGAGCTGGGGATGCTCTTTGCAAGAGTGGTAGTGCACTGTGCTCAGGATGAGCACAAGTTTTTTGCGCACACAAGCATGGAGCAGGAACAAGGACTGATATATCTTCTCATTTCTGCAGTGGGATTTGCTTGAAGGAGCACTAGGATGAGACCCTGTGTCCCTAGGAACAGGCTGTCCTGGGTCTGCGGCAACTCCCCATCCCCACCTGCATTGTCCCTGCTGTCCCCATTCCTGGCTGTCTTCAGCTGCTGGCAGGCAGCTCATCTTCTTTAAAGAGCTGCCTTTCCTAAAGCTCTTTTTTGTGTCTTGATGAATAATTTGTCGATCCTGCATTTGGAGCAGGGTGCATCTCTGGGATGGGGCTGTGTTGTGCATCCTGGTTCCATGCTGCACATCCTGGCAGCATCCAGCATTATGCCATGCTGCAGAGAGATGGGAGATGGTAGGGAGGATGGATGTGCTGTGCTACCCTCAGGGGGTTCTGTCAGCCCCATAGGCTGTGCCCTGCAACCTTGGACCTTGGCACTGTGTGGGGTCCTTTCCTCTCAGGGCTACAATCTCCTACGAACCCCATTTCCTCTGGTTGTTACAGGTCCTCAATCACCTTGATGACCACCTGAAGAGATCCCAATACTTTCGATTCCTGTGGTTCCCACACAGTGAGAATGTCACTGTCATCTACCAGGACCCCACCAACAAGGCAGGTATCATTGGGTCCCAACAGGAAGGGAGAAGGGCCATCACCAAAGCTGCATCCCAAAGCCTGGTCTCTTCCCAGGTCTGAATGTGACCCTACTTCATCATGGGAGAGAGATGTGGGGGTCCTGGGGTGCCCTTCTCCAACCCCCCACTCCAAAGTGGGATGGAGAAAGCAGCAATCCCAGCTAGTCCCTAATGACCATCATCTTCCTCTGCTTGGCTTTGCAGCCCCCCTCTTCCTCTGCTAACTGGTTTTGGGATTATGCTGTTGGGTACTACTTGCTGGAGTTTCTCCTCTGGATCAGGTAAGAGCATGGGGAGGGTTTGGGCAGCCTCATCTCTCTGTTTTCTGCATCTCTGCACTCGGGGATGTGGTGGCACAGGGGAGGACCCAGAAACCCCCATCCCTGGGAAGAGGAGGCTGCCCACTGCCTTCTGTGCAGAAGGAGCACGTTGGGGCTGGGGCTGATAGCTGGGGCTGCACTGCCCTCGTGTGCACAGAGCTGGAGCAGCCTGCACGTTTGCAAGGGAAAAATAAATAAATAAATAAAAAGGAACTTTTTGAGGATGCGAGACCCGGGGTGAATAGAGGGGATGCAGCCCCTTCAGAGGGCATCTCCTTACCCAGCATCCCTGGGTTGAGGCTTGGGCTCTGTAAGCTCTGAGCACTGCCCCTTTCTCATCTCCTGCTCTCCCCCTGCAGCACCTTTGTGCCCAGCTTGGTGCGTTGGATCAACCGCTTCTTCTTCTGGCTCCTCTTCAGCTCCCGGGTGGAGAACATCAACGTCAGCTACAAGATCTTCAACTACGAGTGCCGCTTCAAGCAGCATGTGCAAGACTGGGCCATCCCCATGTAAATGGCCCTGCAGAACCCTGACCCATCCCAAAATACATGCTGTCCCCTGTGCTCTGCCCAGCCCAGCTTGTCTGGAACAGGAGCAAAGCCACAGGGAAGGGGACCAGGCTAGCAGGCACTATTGCCATCTGCAGGGATAGTGTGGGGACCCTTCTGCATCCATATCCTGGGGTACTGACACCATGTCACAATACAATCTTTGGTTGTCTAGAAAAGTTTTGGGTGCCCCATCTCTGGAGGTGCTTAAGGTCAGGGTGGATGGGACCCCGGGCAGGCTGATGTAGTTGGGGGCACCCAGCACATGGCAGGGATTGGAGCTCAGTGATCCTTAAGGTCTCCTCCAACATAAGCCATTCTGTCATTCTTGTTGGAGCTTGGTGATCCCAAAGTGATAGGATGGATATGCTGGGATATGTCACAGGGACATGGTGAATTAGTATAGGAATGGAGCTATGGGGCATTTAAGCCCAAAGGCTGCTGGGTGGGTCCATGCTGACATTAACTGAGCTGCTCTTGGGCAGTGAGAAGACAAAGGAAGCGCTGCTGGAGCTGAAGGCTGCTCTGGAGAACAACCCCAAGATGGTGGCCCATTACCCTGTGGAGGTGCGCTTTGCTAGAGCGGATGAGATCTGGCTGAGCCCCTGCTTCCAGCGGGACAGCTGCTACATGAACATCATCATGTACAGGTGAGCAGCCCTCTCCTCTCTGTTTAGGATCTGTGCTCAGAGGAACGCACACATCTCAACCACCTCTGGCTCTCAGCTGCCCATGCAGAGCTCCTGCACTTTTGCTTGCTCACCCCACTTGGTGCTGGGCAAGTGTTAGTGGCATAGAAACAAAAACCATAGAATGGTTTGGGTTGGAAGGGACCTTAAAGCCCATTCATTCCCAGCCCCTTCCTTAGGAACAACTCCCACCAGCCCAGGCTGCCCAAAGCCCCACCTGGCCCGGCCTTGGTCATTGCCACGATGGTTCCTAGAGTGTTTCCACCACCTGGTTCTTGTCAAAGAGTCCGTGATGGCCCCCTGGGCTTGCCCTGCTCCCCCTGGTGTGGGTTTCTCAGGGAGGGTGCACAAATTCCCCTATCAGTGCCCCCTTGCTTGGCTCCCCCAGGCCCTATGGGAAGAACGTGCCCCGGCTCAACTACTGGCTGACCTATGAGGGCATCATGAAGAAGTATGGTGGGAGACCACACTGGGCAAAGGTACGTGTGGCTACATTCTTCTGGGGTCCTTTCCCCTTCTCCATCAAGGCTCTTCTTGGTGGGGGCTTTGTGGGTGGGAGAGGGCCAGAGAAGGTCTCCCACATCACATTGCTCCCTTAGGGAGGGCTGAGCATGGGCTTCACAGCAGAGCGTTCCTTAGCCACAGGCAGCCCCCCACCATTTCCTCTCCTGCAGGCCCACAGCTGCACCCGCAAGGATTTTGAGAAGATGTATCCGGCCTTCCCCAAATTCTGCTCTGTCCGGGATAAGCTGGACCCTACAGGGATGTTCTTGAACACCTACCTGGAAAAGGTGTTCTACTAACAGCATGAAAATGGGGCAGTGCAGGAGATGGAAATCAGCTGTCATCCCTGGTTCTCAGGACACCCCAAAGCTCATGGTCCTTGGTGACCCCAAAATGCTGTATTCCCAGCTCTGTTCCCAGCTGTTGCAATGGCAGGCAGCGTGGGCTGGCCCTGGGAATGGGGCTGTATGTTGGGTATCACTTCTGGTGGGTCCCTGAGATGTGCACAGTCCTAAGTGTCTCCTGTCCAGACCAACATCTGAATAAAGACTTTCTTGCTAGCAGAGCCAGCCTCAGTGTGTACTTTCATGTGGATCTGGTGTGCCCAGCTCTGGGGTCCAGAGAATGGGCTTGGTGTCCCTTGGTCAGAGCTGGACAAAGGGACCAGAGCCCATTGCACAGCCCAGGCTTGTGCCATCCAGGTCTTTGGGCTCAAGCCATTGCCCCTTGTTGAGGAACGCAGGCAAATATTGGAAGAGGTTGCATCTGTGTTGGTGTAAGAGAAGCCATGCGTGGACAGATGGACTTCGTCCTTTCCCAAAAGCCATGGGAGACGTCTCTGCTAGAAACTGTTGCCACTGGAGCAACCAAATGGCACTGGCCTGGGCCCCACTTCTATTACCATAAGATGGGAAAGTGGACATGGTCATGTAAAGAGGAGCTGGTGGACTCCCCACAAAGATCAGGATAGATGGACAGATGATCAAAAATGCATTTAGTGCCCTGTGGGGTCAAGTAGAAAATGTTTGCAAGGTTTGAAACTGGGCTCAGTGATCCTTATAGGTCCCTTCCAACTCAGGATATTCTATGGTTTGAAGGTCAGTTGAGCTTTGGCTTTTGGAGCCATCAGCTGGCACAGGGTGAACCTTGTCCTCTGCTTCTTGCTTGCTTCAGCTTCCCTCTACCTCAGGTAGTTAAAAATTTGGCTAAACTGAAACACACGCAGTTTGTGTCCAACTTCTCAGCTTGTTCCCAGCCCAATGTGCAGTGGCCAGGACCCCAGTGGAAAAGATTAAGGCAGGGTGAAAGTGCTCTGGGGTGCCTAATGGGTTGAGTCAGGGAAGGGGGAGAGGCTGGAAGGAGTGTGGTATCTTGGGCAAAAAACAAAGGCCAGGTGGTTCATGCACATGATGCTTCTGAGAGTTTCCCCAAGTTCCTGCCTGCTGGAGCCTCACCTGAGGTCCAGCCCTTGGAGCTCCATGCCTTGAGCTGCTCTCAATGTACAAGTCTCCTGGAAACAACCTGAAGATAGGTGTGTCGTAGTTTAGAGGACTGATGATGAATGCAAGCAGGAAGCAGGTGAGGATTTACCTGGGGGTTGGCCTCCTTCCAGGGGGAGGAGTTTTACCAGGTTTCATTTCTGCAAAAGAGGAATTCCCGGAAAGCCTTCGAATCCGAAGATAAAAGGTTGTATGTCCTTGCATGTGTTTAAATTGCTTTTGTAACAGATTTCTTTTGCTGCCTGAATAATGTGCTCTCAGCTTTTAACCTGTTTAATTTCTTCTATATCTATTTATTGCAATGCTGGGGAAGGTTTCTTCCCAAGGAGAGCTCAATCCTTCCATGCCTCTGTCGCAAATTGTTGGGCTTGGTTTCCCTGTAGAAGCTCCGGTCTGACTCAGCTCAAAAAAAACACTCTGAATTCTTAGAAAAGCAAATTGACATAATTATCAGCTCAGCCTTTGCACTTCGTGTGCCGCAACAAGCGTCTCTGGTTTGGTGGCACAAGAGGCAGGTACTGCTTTGTGTTTTCTCTGCAAATTCTTCCACCTTCGACACCTTCTCCTAAGGCTGTCTGTGGTCACCCATGATGTTGCTGGCAGGTCTCTGTCCTCTGCCACCCTCACGTTAATTGCATCCCCCTGTTCCTAAGGACACCTTAAGGTTAAGCCATGGTGTGTTGTGAAGAAGCCAGAAGTGTGAATCCTTGTGGAAGGAGGCAGCGGTGGCATCCTCAAATCATGGCTCTGGAGGAAGTGACCGTGCTCTTCTCTCCCACAGGAAGCTCTTGCAGTGCTTCCAACTCTGTCCTGTGGCCACCACCTTCTGAGCTGCTGAGATCTGGTTCCACTAAGGGACAGCACCCTGCTACTTAGCTAAGGTCACCCCTGATTTGGCATTACTCTGTTACAATGGCAGAAGGATGTTCCAGACCACCTGGTGAGTTTAAGGGGGTCCTCCTGCATTGTGTCTTCCTTCACCGTGAATGTCATTGAATCTGTAATTATAGAATTATTATGCTTGGAAAGACCTCCAAGATCACCAAGTCTAACCTCAACCCATCCCCACCATGCCCCTAAATGCTGCTCCATCTGAGGTGCACCCATTGGAGAAGAGGCCCAGATCCACTCTCAGCATCTCCTCTGACCACCCTGAGATGGAACTTCACTGTGTCCTTCCAAAGGGAGCTATAGGGAGGGGCTCTTTGTCAGGGAGTCTGGTGATAGAACAAATGGCAACGGCTTTAAATTTAGGGAAGGTGTAGGTTAGACATTAGGAGGAAATTCTTCACAATGAGGTGAGGCCCTGGCACTGCTGCCTAGAGAGCTGTGTGTGCCCCATCCCTGGAGGTGCCCGAGGTCATGGATGGGGCTTTGGTCTGTGGGAGGCATCCTTATGGCAGGGTTGGTGCTGGGTGGGCTTTAAAAGCCCTTCCAACACAAACCAATCTGGGATTCTGTAGTTCAGTCTCATGGGCTTTAAAGGGATGCTTCTCCAGGGTTGCCAAGAATGACTCTTCAGTTCACAAACCCTCTAGTGAGATTTTGAGATCACAAGCACTAACCAGAAATCCCCTTTCCTCTGACAAGGTGGTAATGATGATTCACTGGACGAGACTCCCAAGAAAAAGAGCAGGAGAGATCTAATTCCTGAGGATGGGGAGCGAGAGACTCTTAAGAACTGTAAGTAGGGAAAAGGCACAGTGCCTACTGACCCTGGGCTTGGAACATGCATCTCTGCAGCCCTGACCTCGGTGTCCTTCCTGCAGGTAAAAGGATGCAAAGTGAACTGAAGACCATCCTGGAGAAGTCCTCCCAGAAGCTGTCACAATTCCTCCCTATACTCAGCCAGCCTGGGGCAAGAGAGGGGATCCTGTATCTCAGGTGAGTTGATGGATATTTTTTTTCCTTAAAGGGCATCTTCTGATTCTTGTGTGGAAAGGGGCTGCCCGGAGCTTTTGCCTCATAGAATCATTCAGATTGGAAAAGACCTCCAAAATCCCTATGTTGAATCCCAACCCACTGATGTACGTCCAATCTGCCACCCTTTGAAAGCCACAAGCCTATTGAACTTATTTAAATTTTAATTATGGTGGGGAGGCCCTGGCACTGCAGCCCAAAGAGCTGTGGATGCCCCATCCCTGGAGGTGCCCAAGGCCACAGATGGAATGGGCCCTGGGCAGCATGTGCTGGTGGGGGGCACCCAGCACACGGCATGGAGTGGGACTGAGGGGGCTTTGATGTCCTTTCCAACCCAATCACAGAATCACAGAATGGCCAGGGATCATGAAGCTCCAACCCCCTGCCACATGCAGGGCCACCAACATCCACATTTAATACCAGACCAGGCTGCCCCATCCAACCTGGCTTTGAACACCTCCAGGGATGGGGCATCCACAGCCTCTCTGGGGTAGCCACAACCATGATATGTTTCCATAATCCTATGAAATTTTCCTTTTTTTTCTCTCTCTGTGCTCAGGAACCGCCTCACAAGCTTGAAGCCTGACATTCTGATGGACCCCATTTACATTGGTCTCTTTGGCAGCACCGGGGCAGGGAAAAGCACACTGTTGAATGCCATCATAGACAAAAACTACTTCTTGCCAGTGTCGGGGAGCAGTGCCTGCACATCCTGTGTGGTGCAGATCAACACAAGCCGCAGTAAACAGCACGAGGCCAAAATTCACCTGCTCGCAGATGAGGCATGGATCATAGCTCTATGTTTCTTGAATGTCCCCTTGGAGACACTCAGGGTTGGGCTGGAGGGAGCTCTTAGCACCTGATAGAGCTGTAGGTGTCCCTGTTCACTGTGGGAAGTTGGACCTGATGGCCTTTAAAAGTCTCTTCCAACTCAAATGATTCTGTGATCCAATGTTTGCCTTTAGAGGAGAGAGGAAAGAGGCTTAGCTGGCTTTTCAAAGGGAAGCACGACCTGCTGGAAGAATGTGGGAGGGGAGGATGTGACCCAATGGCCAATGTGTCCACAAAAAAGTGATGGGCACTGGCCCTGGTTCCCACTGGTTTAGGTGTACCAGGAGAGAGGAAGCAATGGGATTTCTTCCGGGCATCCAAACCATAATTTCTGTACATCTAATGTGTCTTGCCAGGAGTGGAAGGATGAGCTGAAGGGTCTGGTGGCACTTGTGGACCCCAGTGAAGACAGTGAGGACAACAGTGAAAGAAGTGAGGCTGCTTTGAAGATCTCTGCTATCTACGGGAAAGGAGCTGAAACTAAGAGTTACGAAGAGTTGTGCAGGATGAAACCCATCGTTTCCATTCCCCCTTCAAGATGCATCATCTTCAGGGAAACAACAGTGAGTAGCCCCTATATGTCATGGAATGCCAGAGTTGCGCAATGATTTGGGTTGGAAGGGAACTTAAAGCCCATCCAGTTCCAACCCATGGGCATGGTCACCTCCCATAGACCAGGATACCCAAACCTCATCCAACCCTGGTGGGGTTCTGGTGTCTCCAAGGTTCTTTGCTAAGGGGGTCACTACTTTATTCACTTGCTATGATCCAGGCAGAAGAACTTTCAGACAAAATGTGCCCATATATCCGGAGCCTAACCAGTTCAGTAGGAGAAATGAAGGAAGAAGACACAAAAATGCAGATCTGGCCCCTGATCAAAAATGTGGAAGTGACTCTCCCATATTCACAAGTGATTCCGGAAGGTGTTGTCTTTGTGGATATTCCAGGGACAGGTGATTTCAACAGCAAAAGGGATGAGATGTGGAAAGAGGTGAGTGTGAGCTGTCCCACTAGGAGGGCAGGAATATTTGCTTCTCTGCATGTGGCATACTTCTGTTCTCTAAGGATCAGTGGTGGAGAGGACTGTGAGCCTCCTTGGGGCTGTGGGGAAAAGGGATGCCTTTAACAGGGTAGCACCTTTAACAGGTGCAGGGTAGAATTCTGCTGTGGCATGTCTGAGTTAATGGGAATAAAAAGTGCTCGGCATCTCTCATATGTAATCCCATCCTTTATTTCTGGCCCTCCTTCCCCTCCTGTCCCTTGCAGAACATCAACAAGTGCTCTGTCATTTGGGTGGTCAACTCCTT